TATTTTTATATTATTTTTTTTTTTAATTTTTTGCTAGGCTTTTAGGGCATCTTAATTCACATTTCTATATATTTAATTCACATTAAAAAACCAAAACACAATTGTGGGCGTGGCTGGCATTTGGGCAACAAGTGGCAAGAAAGGTTCTTGTCTGAGTTGTCTGAGCGACTTGTTCGAAACGAAAAATAATCCGAATTAGTTGTAGCTTAAAATGTTCAAGGAGTTACAGCTTTGATGAGTTAGTGGAATAAATATATAAATATTTGCCCAAAATATAACTAATATATAAAGCATATTAAATATCATTTTAAAGAAACATCCATTTGAGGCGATAGAAATAACTAAGCCTTAAAGCCCGCAGGTAAACAAACAAATATCACACACACACACACACACACACACTTACTCACAATCCATAGGGGACAGTGGCAAGAGCAAGGGGGAGACAGACCGACGGGAGCTGCAACATGCAACATGCCATAAAAGTTCAACGCTGTGTGGCATGAAAAACGTGCTGCGTGAAAAACTATTAACTTGTTATTATACCCTGAACCCATTGAAAATGGGTATAATGGTTTTCTTGAAATGTATGTAGCAGGCAGGAGGCGTGGCAGACCCCATAAAGTATATATATTCTTGATCATGGTGACGAGCTGAGTCGATTTGGCCCTGCCGGAGGTCTGTCCGTCTGTCCGTATGTATGAACGCATCGATTTCAGAAGATATAAGAGCTAGGGATTTCGATTTTTTTTTAATGTCCGTACTTTTTTTTTTTATAACTCTTCCCAATCTTTTTTTTTTATCGATAAAAAACCTTATCGAAAATCAGTTATAAAATTATATCTCCTACATCTTTGGAGCTACAGTCTCCAAATTGTGTATGTATATTTACATGCATTTTATACAATTTCGTTTAAATTTACCCCCTACCCCTATATCCACCCCCTCACACCTAAGTTTGTAAAAGGCGTATTTCAACAGATCCGTCTTCACGACACTGAATTACTGTCCAGCCACAATCGACGAGACTCGAATCACAATACACGTCAAAGGCACTCCATCCAGGAAGTTTTATTTCGTGCATACCTGTCGTTTTACCTATGCAGCTGGAAGGTAATTCTTGATTGTTTGCATTTTCCTTATCACTCAATTTATTTCTGAGTTCCTTAATAGCCACATCCTCTTTGGCCAAGTAGTATTTCTCAGTTGATTTACATGACATTTAATTCACTCTCTTGCAACGTAATCTGCGGTTCAAGGCTCGATATTTTATTGTTTAGTTTCACAAACTTTTCCTCTTTAGATCGCACAGAAGATGCATATCCTAACAAGGGCTTTACGATTGTATAGCAATATTTGCCGCATCGCTCGTCCAACTTCTTTATGGCAAGACAGTGCTAAATATATGCATTCAGTTCTCAATTATGCATCAAGTCCAGTTCACTTTCATTGGGTAAACATACCGAATTGTCGCTTCTCTCACTCATTATTCCTCCGGAATATCTAAATTTGTAATACAATATTAAAATTTGAATTTCTTAAAGCGCACGCGCTTAAAATTTATTGAAAACTGAATTCGCTTGATGCATGTGATGCAGAGTCTGAATTTTGTCTATGTCTTATCAAACAAAGTTACAGATGAGCTATTATCTATCATTTGACTGTTAGCAGTCTCTATATGTGCATATGCCTTTGACTTAACTGTTCTCAACGACAAATCGTATCAACAGTTCATTCGCATGGCCTTCGATATGTTTGGACTCACATGTGGGGCTTGAGCTTCGTATTTTATATACTCCCTGTACAAAGTTTATTGAGTTCATTTAAGCAAAACCAATATGCTTTTCATCGCAATTCTCATTGGCATTTATAGGGTATAGTAATAGACATTTAATTTTTAATTGGCAAATAATATGAATTTTCATTTTGTTATTTTTAGTACAATTATTTCTCTAGCAAATGAAATAACTTATAATAAACTCTTATATCTTATATATTGTATATTCTGTACATTTCATCTAAATTATGCATTCCGCAGCGCAGTTTCAGGGAAAAGTTTTAAATATTGTTAGCGGTTTTCTCTAAGCAGTAAACAGAGCGCATATGCCACCTTATTGTATGTATGTATGTATGCCTGACAGAAGACGCAGAGCAAGTTTTACGACCCGAATCTACGTACATGTGTATATGCATATGTATTTGTATATTCATATGTTTTTCTTAGCTGAAAGTTTGGCTTACATTTTGTTGCTGTTGCTGTTTCTGTTTCTGTTGCTTTTTACCTTATAAGCAGCGCTTTTTGCACCAGTATGCAATTGTTGAAAATTTGTGCTTTGCGCTTAAGTGATTTGTTGTGTAGCTCACTTTCGGACGCCCGCCTATGTCGCATTTCTTAAAGCGTGAGGTTAACGAGAGGCTCTCGCTCTCGCCCTCTTCTTCTCTACATCTCGCTCACTCGGGATTTTATGCCTCAGTTCTTTGAAATCGTTTAGCTAAGCAACCAAAGGTTACTAAAACTCTTATTTATTTCGACTTTTTTTTTTATTATTTGCTGTTAAATTTACCCAATAATAATTTCGATCTCTTAATTATTCCCTAAATTATTATAGAACATATTTTTGAGTATGTAAGTTCTTTACTATAAAACCCACAAAGGATAACACATCCCATAGAAAAGGCTATCTTATGACCTTAATTATTTTTTTTTCTGGTTGATTTCTGTGTAAGAAAATGTATATAATAGGCTGACGAAAGCGTCGCACACCCCATAAAGCATACATACATATATTCTTGGTCAGGGCGATCAGCTGAGCCGACTTAGCTTGCTCTGCCTCTCCGTTTGGCTGTTCATTTGTATGAATACTTTGATCTGCGAGCCTTTCAGAGTTAGAGACGTACATTTATATTGATTTGTATTCAATTTGCTTAACAAATTCGATATCTGATTCCTTTTTAATGTTATCGATAGACATTGTATAGGTGGGAGTTTATATTATTTATTAAGCACACAAAATCGATTAAAAATCAATATTATTTTGTAAGCTCGCCATATATTTATTTATTTTATTTATTTATTTATATTTATCGTTTGTCTGGTCACGATTGCCTAATCTAATTGCTTTACCTTGATATTGTCAACAACAGTTGTTATCAATAATTCATAGAACTTGGCTCTGCTCTTTCTGAGAGTAGAATTATGACCTTCAGAAACTGAATAGAGTTAGAAATTAAACGATAGCCATGCACAATTATCTGTAAATTGTTTATCTGTACATTGATAATGATTTATTTGAATGGAATATATGTGTTTCATTAGATATGTCTGTCTTGCTGTCCATAAAAGCGCAAATCATTTCGTTTTCTATATTAAATATAAAAAATATAAAAAAATAAGAACAAAATATGCGAGATTTTAGTATAATGGTTTTGTTAAAATGTAGACCCCATAAAGTATGCATATCTTATGTTTGATAGATAATAGAATAAACATGTATATTGCATTTCACTTTCATAAGTCGAGCAACTCGAGATTTATGTTTATGCCTAGGTTTATTTCTTTCCATGGAAGTCGGTTTCTATAATTTAACGTTAAGATTTGAACAACATTTCAGTCGGGCAGCTTCCGCTGCAGCTTCCGCAATATGGGGCTGCCCTCTTAACCAGACCCAGATTGAGGCCGAAACCGAGGCCTGAACGGGAGACCTCGACTTGAATGCAGACACCCAGAGCTGGGAGGCTTTTAGGGCAGCGTCGCTTTCGCTTTTTCTCTGCTCGTTTTGGCTTATTAAACATTTATTGTGTTTGCCGGAGTTTCCGCAACAATTTGTTTTAGACTTCCCTCTCTCTCTCTCTCTTCACGGTCTTCTCTCTCTCTCTCTCTCTATCGTACTCTAGCCGTGTGTTGTTTACTCACGCCTATTTTATTTTAAATCCGAAACCGTTTACACATCAACAACTTGGCACTCTCTTATCTTGCCCGTATTTGATGTGTCCCATGTGTGCGACGTCCCTCCATCATCTGCACTAACTGACAAAGGGATATGCAAGATAATGGCATTGGCGTGATTACATGCCCAGCTTCCGCCTACCCACGCCTCCCATTAAGCTCAAACCCACGCAGAGTCTAGGACATATCGGATTAACACATGCTCTACTTTTCAACTCAAGCTAGCAATAGATCGTTGGCATTTGTTCTCCATCCATTTCCAGTTCATTCATGAGCAAAGTCAAGAATAAATTTGTGTCTACCAATAAAATTATTTACATCATAAGTTAAAGTTAAATATTAATATTGCAGTCTCTAGTCTCTGTTAGTTTATCTCTCTGTCTCTTTCTCTCCCTTGCTCTCTCCCTATCTCTATTTATATTGCTTTACTTATTTCTTTTCTCTCTCTCTCTCTCTCTCACTCTCTCGCGCTCCTTCTCTCTTTCTATCTGCCCTATATTATTCCGTCCCATTCAGAATAGTAATTATATGGACACAAGTTAGTTATTCCATTAATAATTTATTTCATATTAATTTATTTTAATTTTCCATAAATTGAAAACATACTTAAGCATATTTATTCTAGACAGAAATGTTAGGGCATTCAGCTGTTGGCTTAGAAAGAGCTTTTTCTTTATATTCACTTTACTCACTCGCATTTGTTTTTTAAGGCTCTGTTGCGCAGCACTTTATAAATTATGATTTGTCAGCTGTTGTTGTTTTTGCTGTTGTCGTTGTTGTTGCTGTTCACTGCCAACAAGTTGTTTGGCTCGTCGTTGTCTTAGGCGCCTCATTTGGTTTATAAATGGGTGAAATAAAAATGAAGTGGCAAAGAGGAGAACCAGAAGAAGAAGAAGAAGCAAAAGACGGCCCCATCGTATCTAGGAAAAATATCAATTACAATTAAATAGATTAAACCTTATCATGCAACAACTGTCGCACAAGTGTCCTGGCTGCGAGGACAACGGCGCGGCGCAGCAGAGCAGCAACAAGGAGCCGAACCAACTGCCAAACACAGACACACACACACACACATTGATATATGTATGTTTGTATATATATAAGAATAGGAAAAGCCTGACGCAACAGCGAAAACGCTCTACAAGATTAATGAACGTACAAAAGTTTAGAGACAATGACGACGACGACGACGACGACAACGACAACAAGAAGGACAACAACGAAGACAACAAACATGACAAGCGGCGGCGACGGGCGCAAAATACAAAATGAGCACGAAAACTGAATGGAAACAATTAAAAGCCGAAGATTGAATACACTTAAATTCATATCACAGGTAGACAATAATCTTAAAAGCAGGCGAAGCACGCGTGGTATGATTTGCGATAACTATATTTTATCTACTGTTTAAGTTTTATCGATAACATTTAGTTTTGAAAATGCTCTGTAAGTAAATCTTACATCTTAATATGTACTTGATTATCGAATATTAATAACAATAATAAATATATATTGACAATAGTATTATAATAGCAATCAAACTAATTTTGATGTCGTATTGGTAAAATTGGCTGATTTATATGTTGCAGAATTACATTACACTTAG